AATAGATTGTGAATCGATTACTTATCTAAATGGTGTAAAAAATGATTGGGTAAAAATTATGGTTAATTTTTAATAACAAGAAATTATTGGGAACAGAATATACAGGTGTCTCACGTAACTAGTTCGTTAGGACTTTTTCAGGTTCCATTATTCGTAGAGATTTGAAATTTTGGTAGCATGGGTTGTTTATTGGGAACTTTCGATATAAAATATTTTCAAGATGGCTGCCACTTCCGGTCTACCGGAAGTAGACCATAACTTCGTTATTTTAAATGGAAAGCTATAGTATTTATTACACTATTTAATTGTACGTAAAAAAAATAGGTTGACTTTGATGAAAGTTATTGGTACCTACCGTTTTTCGTTTTCGAGTTATTTTGGTTTTACTCTTTTTTTGGTAAATTGCTCTTTAAAACCCCATATCTCAGCCAACGTTCATTCAAAAAAGATCTGCATAGGCTAGATTACTCTTCAGATGCTGTCAAACAGATTGTCATTTGTTGTATCGGTGTATCTTATACAGGCTGGTCAAAAATTGTATTACTGTTTCTCCATATTCAATGGCGAGAAAGTGGAACACACCGTATTTTTTTAGCCTATCAGAAAGGGAATTTAATTCTCTACAAATTATCTATAAACATTCCTATACCTATTTATTGTACTTTGCCACGTATTGGGAAATTTATTAAAACATGCACGAAATGCAGATTTTTTTATTAGAAAGCTATGGAATTTTGACAGTTTTTGGTCCATGTTTGTATTATTTTTGTCATTAGTTACATTTGACGACGGGTGTAAGTCATTGAACATCATGGCAGATTATTCCAACGTCGATATTTGCAATTTATTTTATATTGATAGCGAATGTAATAAACTTTTCGACAGGACATGCCGAACACTTAATGAGAGATGCCTAACATACCTAACGCCCATCACAAGTAAACAACTTAGTAAACAGTTTTCCTAGTTCTGGACATATCGAGACCAAAAGAAACCGCATATTTCCGGTCACCAGTGATGAAGACAACGAAATAAATATTTTATCGTATTTTATTGCATTTCCAGATTCAATTTAATAACAAATTTATATTATAAATTTATATTTTCATCCAAATCTAATTTTTGTCATTAATTTTTTGTTTTAATTGTTTCATTTATTTGATCTTTTGTTTGTTATTTTTGGTAAGAAAAAGCTAGTAAACTAAAAGATTATCAATCGTAGTTAATAGTACAAATAATATTAGAAATAAATTAAACGAAAAAGTGCATTTACAAACGGTTTCCTGCATTTCCTGCATGTTTCGATAAATTTCCCAGTAAGAGAGAAACTACAATAAATAGGTATAGAAATGTTTATAGATAATTTGTAGAGAATTAAATGCCCTTTCTGATAGGCTAATAAAATATGGGGCACTCCATTTAAAATTTTCGACTATCTAATTGACAGCATCTGAAGAATAATCGTGCCAGTTTAGAGCCTTTTTGAATGAACGTTGGCTGGGATATAAAGAATAGAAGAAGAATTTCCATAGCAATAAAAGGGTTACAAACAATTAAATACATATACCAATATGTTAAAAAATGGCTTTATATTTTCAAAACCTAAGAAAAAATACCTGTGGGCATCACTTCTAATAATTATTACGCTTTATANAATATATATACCAATATGTTAAAAAATGGCTTTATATCTTCAAAACCTAAGAAAAAATACCTGTGGGCATCACTTCTAATAATTATTACACTTTATAAAGTTCATGGTCTTTCTATTTATGCAATAGTTATGCTATAAGAACAATCACTAAGAAAAAAATATTAAATCGCAATAATTATTATTCTAACAGTAAACTTAAAAAAAATGGTGTTTGTTATATGATTAAGAATAATTTACAGAAGACTTAATTAATATTGAAATTGTTTAAAAAGCACTTTGTATTATTAAAATGTTTTATTAATAAATTGTTTATTTTAATTTAGTACGAGGATACAGAAGAAGTAGTATTATGGATGAACACGGTCGGACCATATCATAATCGTCAAGAAACCTACGCCTATTTCTCCCTGCCATTTTGCAAAGGACCGAAAGATTCGATCAACCACTACCATGAAACCCTGAGTGAGGCTTTACAAGGCGTCGAATTGGAAATAAGTGGCTTAGACATTCAATTCAAAGTCGACGTTCCAAAGGCAAAATACTGCGAGGTTCAACTAAATGAAGAAAAATACAAAGCGCTCGTCTACGCCGTTAAAAACCATTACTGGTATCAAATGTATTTGGACGATTTGCCAATATGGGGAATTGTGGGCGAAGTGGTCGATTCGAATTACTATGTATGGACGCATAAGAAATTCGAAATCGGACGGAACGGGAATCAAATTGTCGATGTAAACATAACATCTGAGGATAAAGTTGCGTTAAAGAAAGGCGGAAAATTAACGTTTACGTATGAAGTGATATGGAAATCGTCTAATGTGAAATTTGGGGATCGTTTCGATAAATATTTGGATCCAAGTTTTTTCCAACATCGTATTCATTGGTTTAGTATTTTTAATAGTTTTATGATGGTGATTTTCCTCGTTGGATTAGTTTCAATGATTTTAATGAGAACCTTAAGAAAAGATTATGCCCGTTATAGTAAGGACGAAGAATTGGATGACATGGAACGTGATTTAGGGGATGAATATGGATGGAAACAAGTACATGGGGACGTTTTTCGTCCTGCAACTCACTCGTTATTATTTTCCGCGTTAATTGGATCCGGTTATCAATTAACAACCGTCGCTTTAAGCGTTATTATATTCGCGATTTTAGGTGAATTATACACTGAACGCGGTTCGTTACTTTCAACAGCAATTTTTGTTTACGCTGCAACCTCGCCTGTTAACGGTTACTTTGGTGGATCTCTTTATGCTCGGATGGGTGGAAAATTATGGATAAGACAAATGTTTGCTTCAGCATTTTTATTACCCGCTTTGTTATGCGGTACAGCTTTTTGTATCAATTTCATCGCGATTTATTACCACGCTTCAAGAGCTATACCTTTCGGTACAATGGTAGCTGTGACTTGTATTTGTCTATTTGTTATTTTACCTTTAACGTTAGTTGGTACCGTTTTGGGTCGTAATTTAGCTGGGCAACCGGATCATCCGTGCCGAATTAACGCAGTACCTCGACCGATACCCGAGAAAAAATGGTTTATGGAACCAGGCGTCATAATTCTTTTAGGTGGTGTGCTACCATTTGCGAGTATCTTCATCGAAATGTACTTTATTTTTACATCATTCTGGGCGTATAAGATTTACTACGTTTATGGTTTTATGTTATTGGTATTAATCATTCTCTTAATTGTTGTTGTATGCGTGACTATCGTTTGTAGTTACTTTTTATTGAATGCGGAAGATTATCGTTGGCAATGGACGTCGTTTCTTTCTGCTGGGTCAACAGCCGCTTACGTTTACATGTATTCGGTGTACTATTTCTTTTTCAAAACGAAAATGTACGGCTTATTTCAAACGTCGTTCTATTTCGGTTATATGGCGGTCTTTAGTATCGGTTTAGGAATAATGTGCGGTACCGTGGGTTATGTAGGAACATCAATGTTTGTGAGAAAGATTTATTCGACCGTTAAAATAGACTAAGCGAGTCCGAGTGTGTTTTAGTATAATAATGAGAAGTAATGCGCCAGTGATTCAAGTTTCGAAGCTGTGTACTTTATATTTGATTTCAAGTTGATGTCGATGTCTATCAAAAAGACTAGATTTACAACAATTTTCTTTTTCTTGAGGCGACCTTTTACTTTTATATTTGTAAATAAGTTATTTTTTATTTAACGTTGTATTAATAATTATTATTAAAACCGTTTTTTCTTTTAGATGAAATGTTATTCAGTAGATAAGTGACTTTTCTTTCTGTGTTATTTCATCAAGACCCGACGATTGTAACGTTTAAAAAAAGAAACGGTTTTTGTGGATTTATAAAAATATATTGAAATTTGTCTTTATCGTTTTTTTTTCTGTTTTATTTTTCTTATTTATTATCGACAAGGTGAAAAAGACGAAAAGAAGTAAATTTAATTTGACCGTAAACTTAAACATGTTTTATGAAGTGTATAGTTATCCACTTTGAGTGGATTCTTTATTTACATAATAAATATAATTAAATAATTTTTAATTAGTATTACCGTTCTTCTGTTTTTCTTATCTTTTTGGAATTAGTGGAAAGTAATTCTTAAACCCATTCTTAGCTAGCTATGTTGTATTCTATTTTCTTTTGCTTTTCTGTAGTTTTTGCATTACATTTTATGTCCCAGAATGAATTGACAATTTTTGATTAACATAAAAGTTATATAGCTCATGTAACCCTAAATGTTTATAATATGAATTACTGAGATATTCATATCTAAAGGTTTGTTAATTCATTTAACATCAATTAAGAAGCAACTCTTCAGTCAAGGTGAGGGTGAATGAAATGAAGTTCTAACATTAGCTTTGTTACAACAAGCGGTTCGACTCGTCGTGTACTCGTCAAATGCAATCATACATGTCAAGTAATGTCGTCACATTTCAGCGCATTTCATTGCATTATTTAACATGTGCGATTACATTTGACGAGTCGGACCGCTGCGATTGTTGGAACAAAGCTATCATTAACTATACTAATGATATTTTGTGCTAGCTATTCATCTCCGAAATTCCTAAGAGTTAGGTCATTAAGTACAGAAGGACAATCTGATAACAGATGCATGACAGAGACAAGTCCGCACGCCCCATATTGTGAAAATTTACCTTGCATCGTCCTTGAATTACAGGAGCCTTCTGTTTTTCAGTACAGTCCTTCTGATATGTTCTACAAACGACCATGAAGCTTTGGCACAATACCTTAGATGTTCCTTAGACAAATTTTTGGTGAGTATTCCAATCGAAATGACTATACTTATAGACTGTACAGGTGTCCAAATTTCGATGGGTTTGCAGGGTATCTCAGTTATTATCAAAGGTAGAAAGTTGCGGCTTTCGCGAACCTGAGCTACTTTTTTGTGAAACTTACAATGGCGCAAATCAAATTTTCATAGCCCTCTTCGTTTTTGATATACAGGGACAGGGAGTGTTTCAAAATTTACGATTTTTAGACACCTCCTGTATCTCAGCTATCCGGAAACGTTAAAACGGGTTCTAATAGATTTTTCACGTAGAATCCAATGGTGCACGTATAATTTATTTAGTCATCACGGTTTTTGAGTTATAAAGAGTTAAGCATTTTGGAAGTTGAGTATTCAGTATTTGAGTTGTGTTTATAACTCAAAAACCGTGATGACTAGAAAAATTCTACGTGCACCATTGGATTCCACGTCAAAAAATCTATTAGAACCCGTTTTTACTTTTTAACTCGCGTAAGTAGAGTATTAGAGGTGTATGGACGGTGTGTATGTAAAGAGCGGCTCTTATTTTGACGTATGGGTGTGCAATGCGTATGTGACAAATGAAAATTTGTCATGCAATTATTAACTTGGCCAACGAGAAAAATTACAAGTTACCACCAAATTGTTAGTACTGATTGAATGGCACTTGCAGCATCTAACTATCTAGAAAAGATCTCAAAAATCAAACGTCTTACCGCCGATATCAGCCAAAAAGTGGTTGTAAATATATTAAAAATGTTATGAGCTGGATAGTGTTCACGAAGCTGCTGACTCAGAATTAACACGCAATATTATACGAACGAGTGTCAAGAACCAATACAAGCCTTGACCTTACAGTAAAATTGAAGTGGGATCAATACACGTCCCTGACTTTGTTGCCAAGGTGCGCGGCTGGAGGAACAGTTCTTTGTGGTTGCTCATCGGTTGTCCCACCCGATTATCGAGCAAGAATGATTCAATAGTCGCATGGCAGCAGTTAACTATTAGCGGAATTGTACGTATTTCTGGACAGACAAAAGAATTAGTCCGATTTGGAAAGTCCAAACGATAGTTGGTTTGTCAGTCAATGTCGATGTGTACGAAGATAATACCACTGATAGTTCCACCAGATAGTTCCATGGAAATACCCGACAAAGACTTCAAGTATACCCCCGGCCGTTTAAGATCCTTTTTATGTTATAAACAGATGTCAGCGAATGGTAATTGTTGTGGAACTTTGACTAGAGTTGGAAGTATAACATTAATGATCTTATAAGTTTGGCGTTTGCCTGATGGTCCATCATTTTGCGCCAAATCGCGAACGTTTGTAACGCCATTTTCGAGAAAATGAGCATTCCTAAATAATCCTTATTCGCAAATTGGTTATTATTTCAGAAACATGAGATAAAGTTCCATTAAAGTTGTTTTCGCATATTGTAGAAGTACGTCATTCACGATACTGCTACCGGCGACGTTTCATTAATAGATGGATGTATTCCTAGGCAACTGAATACTGATATAGTATTACATTACATAAATTATGTATCGGGTAGGCGAACCAACCAACCTCGGTTATCAAAAGAGATAATCTGCGTCCTCCGCACATAGTCGGCATTTAACATCGTCGGTTAGGCCTAACAAGTTGAGTTGTATCTTCAATCGGCAGTGCCCAGTAAAGACACTCATTAGAACTTTAATGTTGCTACCAGCAAGTCCTAAAATGTTGACGGGTTTGACAGTAGCGATGTTGATAAACAAGTTAGTGTGTCTCATTCCAGGAGAACTGGTGCACAGTAAGTGCTGTTTCTCTTAAGCCCACAGTCCAATCGTATGTTTGGCCATCGCAAATGATAATCCAACTGCTGGCACGGGTCCCACAAACGCTTTAGCGCTGCCGTCTCCTGCTAGCTATATCTGCCGCTTCATTGCCAGCAACCTCAGAGTGACCTGAGTCCAGATCAGAGAAACTCTGTTATCACAACTCAGTGTGTTTAAAGTTCTTTTAAAGTCATTAACTAGAGCCAACACCGTTTTCACGGCCTGCAGCGCCTGAAGTGCGGCGTGACTGTCTGAGAAAAAGCGTACTGTCATATTCTTCACCCCGCTCTGGAATCACCTGGAATACAGTACCAGAGAATATTAGTTTTCTATCCAGGACTGTCGTTTAGGCAGTACAATCGGGTATCGAGCATTAATCACTGGTAGTGATCCCATCAAATTTGACGGTATTGATAGCACAATATCAGTGCTTATACTGTCTTCCGCAGCCCATTGGTAGAACATGTTGGACCAGGCAGTTTGAGCATGCACATGTAAAGGAGATAGACCAAGCAGAATAACATGCATTACTAGAGTGGCAGCCGCTCCGTATGTGATCATAACCACAGTCACATAGTAGCCAGTACAGTCTTTCAGGGGTAAGACACCAATTTCTTCCACAAAGACTATGACAAGTCCACAAGGATAATCTAACTTTGCGTAAAACTCCCTGCAGATGTGCATTCCATGAGAGGGTTTTGTCTAGGATTACTCCTATCTAAGAGGCCTGGTATAGTCTCCGATTTTTCTGGTGGTTTTTATGACTTTATTGCAGTCATATAACGAACAAAGACGGGGTTGTAAACAGATAGTTGACGAACCCCAAACTCCGGCGTGAGTTGTTCAGGTCCGCATTAACGGAAATTACTTTGTGTGAAAATACAACAATTTATTTAAAATTTCCATGTTCAAGAGGCAAGCGAGTTATTATTCTTCATGCAGGCGGAGAAAATGGTTTCACAAAAAATGCCCTGTTAGTATCTGCAAAAAACATCAGACATTGCTCTGCTGATTACCATCAAGATATGGACGCGGCATTGTTTAAAAGCTGGTTTCAAAACCAGTTATTGAAGAATTTTGTTATTGAAAACATAATTCGGTAGTACTGCTCGATAATGCCAGTTATCACTCCCGCATTAAAAATCCCAAACCATCTAAAAGGCACAAGAAAGAGTATATTTTAAATTATATGAAAGAAAATAACATTTCTATGCCAGAAGGAAAAATAACTAAAGATAAATTATTAGAAAAAGTTAAAGAAAATAATAATACGGTCGAATACGTAATTGACAACATGGCAAAAAATGCAGAGCACACAGTATTACGACTGCCACCTTACCATTGCGTCTTAAATCCTATAGAATTAATCTGGGGCAACTTCAAGAGGAACATAAGAAAACACAATACAACTCCGACGATAAGTGCCAAAGTTGTGGATTTAATTCGAGAGGAATGTAATAATATTTCACCCGAATTGTGGTCGCAGCGCGTAAAACACGTGAAAGATGTCGAAGATTCGTATGTGTCGCCACATGTACAGCGTTTTATTGTTAGTGTTGATGATTCTTCTGATGACGACAACTTAGAATACGCGGAAAGTGACAACTGTTATGACACTGATGAAGAATCTTGAATTAACGACAATCGCCGGTTAGAAATGTTAAATAAAATAAAAAAAGAAGTGCGTCCCTGGACCTAATTCGCTAGGAGGGCCTATAATAAATCACGGCCAAGTACTTTTTCGGGGTGATAATTACTGCCGCTACTGTTTCTGAGGGTCATAAAAACCACCAGAAAAATCGGAGACAATAAAGGCTGCCACTCTAGTAAAGCATGTTCTGCTTGGTTTATCTCCTTTACATTTGCATGCCCAAACTTCCCAAAACTGCTCCAACATGTTCTACCAATGGGCTACACTGATATTGTATATAGGTGCTCCGTATCTTCCGCATCAGAGCATTATACGGTTGAAGGATACATTATTCTGAAGCGATTTTGCGACCCATAGCAGATCGTAAATCAGACTCAGGTAATCGTGATCAGACTCGGTTCGTAACTTGTTTCCCACGTGTACTCACCAATAGATTCGACACGGAAAGAGAAATAAGCTTTTTCGGTGAATCAAAGTTGTCCGCTATTGGACAATAGCGGATAACTTTAAACAGTTCCCGTGAAAAAAAATTTATTAGAAAAATCGCTTCAGAATACTGCATCCTTCAACCGTATAATGCTCTGATGCGGAAGATACGGGACCCTGTATATAATCAAAAGTTTCTAGTTTTATTTCTAAAACCAAATTACTTCGCCTTTTTTTGAGAGGCTTTTTGAGATATAAGTTTGCATATAATTAATAAATTAGCCTTTCCTTGATAATCATAAGAGAATCAGAACCATATACAATGGTGTATCATTTTCTAATTATAGATATTTTTCGATTTTTGATCAGTGCAATGTTAAAGAGTGTTATTTGAGATTATAGCTTGATGAATATTTTAGTTATAATCAGATAAAATGGTCATTAACTTCAATTAAATTCATTCAATAATTCTAATTCAAAGCAATAATGTTTTTCTTTAATAATAAAAAGAATTTATTTATTTAAAACCAGGTATTTTAGATAACTTATTTTTAAGTTTGTCATAAACAAAACTGTAAGGCTCCTGCAATTCATTCTTTGTTAATGGTATACCAACAAATCTCTTTATTTTAGGCGACATTAAAACTAAATTTTGTGCCAATCCAAAAGCGCTTGATGTAGTCCAATATAAAGTTAAACACTAAAAATTCAAAAAATATAAGAATTGATAAAATAACTTAATAAAATTTACTTACTGATGGTACATTTGCAGCTAAAGGAATCATTCCAATACTCACTAATCTAAAAAAGTTTGTGAATATTTTTTGGAGTTTACCAGGAGGGTTTACTTTAGCTAAAGCTTGGATTTCAATTATTGTTAAATTAATTAATCCTAAAAATACTGGTAAAATTAATGAACTATCCACTTCTACTAAATTTGGTATCCATCCAAATCCACCCACACATAACTCAGTGAATGTTATTTGTGATTGAACATCCGTTACTGGTAGTTGATAAACTAAATTTCTTAAGCTCACTGAGTAAGATATCCACAATGGGATTTGAAATATTAATAATATTCCAGCTTTTAATGGATGGCAATTATCTCTTATTATTAAGTTATTCCACTGTTTCTTGACCTAAACAAATTAAATTTAATAAATAGTTAAATCCTTTTTATGTTATAGCACATTACTGATTTTCTATAATAATATTGAGCTGTTTTCTCATCCCATTCAAACCTTCGTACAGCAACATGCATCTCCTTTTTTAATTCTTCTACAATAGCAGGCATTTCCATTGATAAATTCCCATATTTTGCTAATATTCTTTGTTGGTAAATCGCAAAAGGTAAAGTAACACAAGATCTAAGTAAAATTGTAGTACAAATTATTGTAGCCCACCATGGTAATCCAGATTTATCGTGTACTTGGAGTAAAAAACTTTGTATATATTCAACTGGAGTACTTTCAGAGAGTGTCTTAAAAAATCCTGATTGTGCTCTTATTGTAGACTCTACCGAAAACGATCGTTTTTGTTGGTTTGATGAATAAAAATCATTTTTATTAAACGTAGTAAGAAGTCCTAAGTGTGAAGTATGTTTTTGAACACAGGTTTTTAATAAATTACTACCGCGTATTACGTTCATTATTTATTTAGGTTAGAATTTGCAGCCTTATAGGTTAGGTTAATCATAAATTGACATAAAACAGCTGTTATTACTTAACCTCAACCTGGATTTCATTTTATCGCTTCCTCCTTATAATAGTTATTTTTAACTTTGACTAATATTGTTATGTTGTAACTTTTTAATCAGAGGCGTATCATTTAATTAATACATTTAATAGTTAGTTAAATTTTTTTGTTTTAAATTGCTAATTATTAACGAATAAGATTATTTAATTAATTTTTATAAATAAATTGATAATTATTAATTAAATATTTTTCATAAAAAAAGTGCTACCATCTATTATTGAGAAAGATTACTAAAAGTCGGTATTAAAATATTTTCGATTTAATTATATTACTGTAGGTGTAAATATTTACTTATATAAATTAACTTTTTTCGTCTTCGTATTTATAATTAAATAACTTTTAATTAATAGTATAGCAAATATTATAATGTAAATCTAACTTCACACTATTTTGAATTTTGACAGTTTAATCATCAGTTCGAACATCTGTCACCAATGTCAAAAAAGTTTTATATTTTATCGCGAAATGTACGTCTAACAATTAAAAAAGCTAATTATAATCGCTCAGAATTTAGTGGAAATAAACCGAAAATACGTAGTAGATAAACTGAGGAATTAACGGAAACAGTGCGCATCTAGCCACGAGTCGACTATGAAATATTTACAACAGAACACGACGTTACTCCTTCAAGTGTAGGAGAGAAAGTTTTTTTCGCAACCGCAAACGAAATGTTAAGATGTAGCGCACACGCGGGCGGTCTGTCCTGTTTATGTAGCCATAAACGTACGTAATCTTACGTTTAGTATTCCAAAAAAATAAATCCTATGTCCAAGATAATAAAAAATAATAATAAATAATAAACAGGCTTATTATTATCACATTAAATATGGGACTGTCAATTAGTAGTTCTTATAGTACTCCCTATCAAATAATATCTAAAGTGAGTGAGTTTGTTAGGGGGACTAAGAGGAAATTAAGCGAAAGAGACACCGAAGACAATATGGATAAAATTATTGATATTGCTATGCATACACCAAAAAGGTACGGTTTTTTATTGCTTTTAAACGATTAATTTATTGTTTTAAAAATTTTAAATAGGAAAAAAGTTGAAACAACTGCACAATACATTTATCAAGCTTTATTTAAAGAAGGAAAGAACAGTGATGTTAAAGTTTCAGCTCTTGGTGTTGACTTCATGTTACATAAAATCTACTTGTGCCAAAGCCCATATTTTGCAAGCATGTTTGGTGGCAGTTGGTTGGAAAGCGAAAAAACTTTTATTAATATTGATGTTGTGGATCCTGCGATTACAAAAGAATGTAAGTATTTTTAAATTTAAAAAATGTGCAATAATTATTTGAATAGTTTGCAAACGAATTTATTTAGAAATTGCTTCCACAAGTTTTTAAAATATTTACATAGTTGGAGGGGCAGAGTAGTTTTATCTTATCTGGAGCAGCTTTTGCTCTGTCTGGCGATGATAACAATGTTATATAATAAAATTTTGTTAAAATTGAGTGTAATTCAAAATTACAGGATTTATGACATGGATATTTATGAGCATATTTTTTGGTTCTTAAAGATTAAATAAAATATTTATTAATGATTGATTTTAAATCATATTATTATAATCTTTTATAATAACACAGATGATATTTTCAGTACAGAACTCTTTCTTTTTGTTTAATCACACAGACAGAAATATAAATTTCCCTACAAAGTTTATTCAACATTCTCAACTTTATAAAAACAAATTAATTATTGTAAAGATAATGATACGTTTTTTAGGATTATGGATGCATTAAAAATAATTAATTTTTATCATTGATACATGATTGGAAAGGAATTTAATTTAATTGTCTATATTATATTTAAAAAATAAAGGTGAATCACATTTAAAAACATTAGCATTGAGTAAATCAAGTTTAAAGTTATGAAGCGGTATATATTATATATTATATTACGAGTAAAGCGAATGACTAAAGGAAGTTGTAATTAATAACTAAAATTTGAACAACCATGAATTTTGGCTTTTTGAGAGACAGGCAACCAAACATACGTAACATATTATATCAAATCTATTATTTATATGATTACAAAGGGTCTTTATTTTGTGTATTACAGAAAAGACTTCAAAAAAACAAGAAAAATATCATTTTCACTGTGTATATTAATTAAATTAAATTATTATTAATTAATTTTGGCATTTTGAGAAATAGGCAACCAAACATACTTAACATAATATCAAATTTAATGTATTATTTATAACAAAAGGCCTTTATTTTGTGTATTGCGGAAAAGACATGAAAAGAACAAGAAAAATATCATTTTCACTGTTTATATACATTACTTTGAACAACAAACATATTAATCAGAAACTATTGTATTCTAATAATCGTCATATTATCAGTATTGCATACCTTATTGCATAATAATAACGAAAATTGATTGGTATTTCGCGTAACTCGTGGTATGGATTATACTAACGTTTTATACGTATTGGTATATTATGTTAATAAACATTATGTTCTATTTGTCAAAAACCCCGACACACTGACATATGCAACCCAACATACAGCAAAGTATGTCTCAAGCCTCGTGTTATGGATTTATTCTGCAGATAAAGAGAATCAGCTCTGAGCACATCTCTTGAGAGGTCGTCATTGTGGTCTTCCACACATGCAAATTCTTGCCATTATTCTCTTCTTACTCTTTCTTTCTACATGTTTCTCCCACTTTTTTTTTTCTGGTTTTTGTCTATTTAATTACATCCTGTATGTTGCATCTTTCTCTAACCGAGGTGTTGGTTTCTTTATCTCGTAATGTAACATCATATACACGGTGTCTCCCCGTTGAGTTGCATAACTTTGTAGGGTTATTCCTTGCATCAAAATTAGCAAAAAACTTCCAGTGAACATAGGTCCAATTCTCAACCGTTTTTGAGATATGGGGTAACTTAATTAACTTAAATTACTGTCTTACTTCTACAATAATTAGCAGAAAGTGTTAAGTTTTAATAATTTTAATGACCAAACGTTGTCGTAAACAAACAAAAACAAAAGTATAGCGATCATTAATTGATTAAAGCTGCTCAAAATGGCGACCCTGGACTGTCATACACAACTCTGCTCTTCGACTCAGTTTTCCTATCCAGTTAACATTTTCCATGTTTCCACGAACTTGCTGAAATGCTCGATGGCTTCTACCTACCAGTTCTTCTTTGGTAGCTGGCTTCCCTTGTCCATAAACGATGGTTTTAACATTGCCCCAGAGGAAAAAGTCGAGAGGGATCAGATACTGCGAGCGCGGGGACATGCGACAACTCCGTTCCGCCCTATCCAGCTGTTCCCTTCCATAGTGTGCCGGACACCTGTCATGGACAAACCACATCCTATTACGCACGTTCAAGGGGATATCTTCAAGAAGTATGGGAAGCACTTCTTCTAGGAATCTCCTGTAGATTTGACTGGTCAAGGTTCCATCAAAGACCTTCGGTCCCAGGTCAACATTTTCGATGATTCCTCTCCACACATTAACCGAAAATCGGGATCCTGGTTCTCTAGGATCCACTAGCAAAATTCTTCTCGTTTCGCATAGTCTGCTGCTAAGAGATTTTGTATTTGTTGTACGTGCTAAGGATGTAGCCCATTTTCATTTTTAGCGTTATGCGTATCCTCTTCTGCGCTTTTGACAACCCATATCTCAAAAGCTGTTGATAATTGGACCTATATTTACCGGAAGTTTCTTGCTAATTTTGATGCAAGGAATAACCCTACGAAGTTATGCAACTCAACGGGGAGACATCCTCTATGATATAGATCTTAAATCTTTCATTTCCATTATTCGCATCTTTTGCTTACACTTCTTTGTCTCTGCTGTCGTCTCAGTACCATATATTAGTATGGGTTGTAACATGACTTTGTTTCGCCATACAGTATCACTTAGACAACCCACTCCCCATGCCGCTTTTATGACTACTGATTGAGTTTCTCTATATAGATCACGGTGGCTTGTCATTTCAACAACTAGATATTTAAAATGCATGACCTGTTCTATTACCGAGTTCTCAATTTGCCGCTTGCAGCGTCTTGGATTTGGGTATTTTGGATATTACCATACATTTAGTTTTATTCGTTGATATTTTCAGCCTTTGCAAATCATCTTCGTTACTTAATTAAACCGGCGTTATCAGCATAGCATACTATGTTAATATTTTACTTCCCTATCTGGTATCTTGGTTTGGGTATTATACGATTCCTTAGTAGGTTAAATAGGCAGATTTAATGAATCCCTTTGTCTAACTCATTTGCTCACAGGTATGTCTTCAGTTATACATTGGGTGGTTTCTATTTTAGTGGTTGTGTTAGTGTATATGTCATCTATATATTATTTGCGCCGGTATATTTTCATGTTCGAGTATGTTAATAATGTCTTGTTTCTTAATTCGACCAAAAGTTTTAGTTAAGTCGAGGCGAAATTATTGAATTCTATTGATTTTTCTGTAATCTAGTTAATAATGAAGATTGCGTCTGTTGTGCCTGTATTCTTTCGGAATTCATGCTGCTCTTCTGCTATTTCAATAGTCCCTTGCAGATATTCATGAATTATTAATGTAAACAGTTTCATAGTGTTTCACTGTAAAACAATATATACTTTTCCGCCTTGATAGATCCCTTTCCTTCGTGTTTCGTTCAATGAGCAGATGCTAATTTTTCCGTTTTCCATGATTCAGTGTTCCAAGTAGCTAGCTTCAGTCTAATTCTAAGGCTTCATTCGAGTTCTGTGAGCATATTCTACGATTCTACCCTGATAGCTTGTTGACCTTATCAAGGTGGAAAGTTTTACCTACGTTGTCTGGGCTAGTCTGTTTTGGTGGTATTTTATTTCCCACCTGCCCTTAATATTGACTAACGAGATCAGATTGATTGAGGTGTTCGCCTATCCGCCTGTATGTATGTACTCAATAACAACTACGAAATTTTGATGGTTTTAGTTACCTATACATCAACATTTTTTTCATAATCTAAGCTTAAATGTGTTGAATACAACTCAATATCAACATTATAACATTCTGAATAATAAAATTATGTTAAATTAGGATAAAAAACTAATTAAAATATAAGATTAGCAACTTACCTTTGTATTGGGTCTTTTTCTTAGTTATCAGATGTAATTAGAACAAAAATTGACTCGACAACAGTAATATTCATAGATGGATATATTAACATTAAAAGTTGAAATTGCCAATTACTCACATTTTATTTACTGACATTTTATCAATATTTTACATATTATTTATCTTATCACATCGTAAATTACAAAATGTAATGTTACTTTTCCTATACATATCCCTAACATTTAAAAAATGAGGATAAAATAATAAGATATACGACTTCTTTGTATCCATTATATAATACTGAAATTAGCTATAGTGTAAAGTTACACTTTAGACAAAGCAAGATAGAAACGTGACATCTTCACTAAATAAAAGGAAAACCCTCCAAGTATTCGTAGTATGATGCGTAGTACCACAAACTGCGCAACAGCGGACCAGCCCACGCTAGTCGATGTTCTGTGACTTGCTAAATTCGAATCTGCGACCAAAGTACAACGTGAAAATCGCTAATAACATTAATTGATAGGATATCCACTTGAACGATACAGGCAGTCCTGGAAGGCCATCGATAAGTGACGAGTCTATGGCTCTATAGAAGTCCAGAAGTCACCATCATCGATGATACTGAACGACTAAAAGCCTTTTTAGGTACGCTGCCACTCTGGAAAAGAAGAATGGATGCAAATATAACTGCAAATTGTTCTATGATGGAAAAACTGTTTTCATAGAATAGTGCAGACAAAGCTGCAAGAACATTTTGGCGGGTATTTTTGTCCAGAAAATTTTAAACAGGGGACATGGTTTATAATAGATATTAACGACATGAATGACGAAGATCTTGTCAAAGAATTATCGATTTAAGAACGATAATAGTATTGCGAGCGCAATTTAATGCTAAAGATATTTGCACCTTTTGGTTAATACCTGTACTAATGAAACGAGCTATGTCGTTGTTAGTACTGTTTGCTACTATACAGGGTCATCCACGACGACCGTCCATTAGAACTTTACAGGGTTCTGGTCAAAACAAAAATTAGAAAATTCAGATTTAAGTATTATTAATTGCGTTCTCTTCGACTAAAATATTTTCAGATTTCTAGCACTTCTGGTTATACCGGAAGTCGCCACCTCCTTTATTTTTTTAAATGGAACACCCTATATATTTTTACATATTTGAGTTTGTCTGTTTTCAGGGTTTATGAATAACTTTACTTTTTGAAATTTGAGTCGGCCGCTCTCGGGTTATTCGAATTTCTCTAGAAAAATCTGCTCCAGCAGACATTTGTTCAAAAAATCAAAGAACACTCGATTTTTGGGATATCAAGTTAGGATTCAGAACATGCGTAAGCAACATGATGGAGTATGTTTTGGTGCCGAGTACGGCTGTCTAGAACGTTTGGTCACTTTACTACGGCACGTTAACTTTTCGAAATTTGGAAGTACCATAACTTAATATTTTTAAATGGCACCCCCCATATTTTATTACTTAGTCGTCTTCGGTGTCTCATTTTACATCTTTTATATCCCATATGTCCTATACCTAACATTTATAGTTTGGGAGATAATTAGGGTTTTTTGAAAAATGCACACATATCGATATTTAACCTAGTGTGCCATGAATACCTAGTGTGACCTTGTGAATAACCATATGAAGTGGCCTTTTGAAAATTTGCAGACTTGTGATGTTTGATGCCAGCTTTTTACTAAAATATTTTCAGGTTCTGGGTACTTGTGGTTACACCGAAGGAAGTGACAATTTTCATATTTCAAATGGAACACCTGTATTTCATTACATTTTTGAAATTTTTGTTCAATTTTAGGTCACTTGTATGTTGCAGCCGACACGTACGCGCAATTATTTGGTTGCACTCGCCATAAATTATTATCAGATTTAAATAATCCTCATTACTAAATTCCAAACGTTGCATTTCTTGAGAACAGATCACTACAAAAAGTAACCTAGTCATCACACCAACAGAAATAAACCATAGCTTTAGCAAATGTCAAACTGTTTACTCTTTCCTTACTGATCCTCTGATAATACATAACCTCAACAACATTCAAAGTAGATGATTTATAAATTATAAAAAGTAACGTTGTAGTTGACATTTTTGATTGAAAAATTTAATAAAAGTCAGGGTGCTCCATTTGAAATATGAAAATTGTCACCTCTTCCCGTGTAACCACAAGTACCCGGAACCTGAAAATACTTTAGTTAAAAAACTGGCATCAAACATCACAGGTCTGCAAATTTTCAAACCTCCACTTTCATGGCACACTAGGTTAAATATCGATATGATGTGTGTGCATTTTTCAAAAAACCCTAATTATCTCCCAAACTATAAATGTTAGTTATAGGACATATGAGATATAAATGATGTAAAATGAGGCACCGAAGACGACTAAGTAATAAAATATGGGGGGTGCCATTTAAAAAAATGAAGGTATGGTACTTCCAAGTTTCGAAAAAGTAAACTGCCATAGTAAAGTGACCAAACGTTCTAGACAGCCGTACTCGGCACCAAAACATACTCCATCATGTTGCTTAAGCATATTCTGAATCCCAAATTGATATCCCAAAAATCGAGCGTTCTCTGATTTTTTGAACAAACGTCTGTTCGAGCAGATTTTTCTAGAAAAATTAGAATAACTCGAGAACGGCCAAATCAAATTGCAAAAAGTAAAGTTATTTATAAACCTTGAAACAGACAAATCCAAATATGTAAAAATATACAGTTGTTCCATTTAAAAACATAAAGTTGGTGGTGACTTCCGGTATAACCGGAAGTGTTAGATATCTGAAGATGTTTTAGTCGAAGAGAACGCGATTGATAATACTTAAATCTGAATTTTCAAATTTTTATTTTGGCCAGAACCCTGTAAAGTTCTAATGGACGGTTGTCGTGGATGACCCTGTATATTTCTGTGAGTCAGGATTCTCAACATTAATTGCAATAAAAACTAAAAATCGGAACCAACTAGACGTGAAACATAATACACTATATTAATTAATTATCGTAACCCACGTGACCTGTGTAATATTGGCTGCATATCTCAATATGTAGTGGTAGCTCAAGGTCTATAGAACATAAGGTTACCCAATACCGATTCTCCTCCTCTGAGAGGCAAGGTGGGTCAGTGACGTAGCTGGTTCTATGAACAACACAACACGATGCGAGGNAAATAAAATATGGGGGGTGCCATTTAAAAAAATGAAGGTATGGTACTTCCAAGTTTCGAAAAAGTAAACTGCCATAGTAAAGTGACCAAACGTTCTAGACAGCCGTACTCGGCACCAAAACATACTCCATCATGTTGCTTAAGCATGTTCTGAATCCTAAATTGATATCCCAAAAATCGAGCGTTCTCTTATTTTTTGAACAAACGTCTGCTGGAGCAGATTTTTCTAGAAAAATTCGAATTAGAGGTAAAGTTATTTATAAACCTTGAAACAGACAAATCCAAATATGTAAAAATATACAGGGTGTTCCATTTAAAAACATAAAGTTGGTGGTGACTTCCGGTATAACCGGAAGTGTTAGATATCTGAAAATATTTTAGTTGAAGAGAACGCAATTGATAATACTTAAATCTGAATTTTCAAATTTTTATTTTGGCCAGAACCCTGCGAAGTTCTAATGGACGGTCGTCGTGGATGACCCTGTATATTTCTGTGAGTCAGGATTCTCAACATTAATTGCAATAAAAACTAAAAATCGGAACCGACTAGACGTGAAACATAATTAATTGTCGTAGTGTTAATTAATTATCGTAACCCACGTGACCTATGTAATATTGGCTGCATATCTCAATATGTAGTGGTAGCTTGAATAATTTTAAATTGATAACCAGATGTTGACAGCTGATCGAACGTTATTGTTGTTATTGTCGTATGCTTTGTGAGTTTCCGTATTTTCTTTGTTCTTTAACCGTTTTTTGCTGCCTTTATATTTTTCGAAACAGTTCTTTTTAGAACTATCGTTCTAGCGGTTGCTTTAAACGGTAAGTCAATAAATAAATCAAAATAACCACTATTTTCAACATTACTTTCAAACTATAAAAGGACAGAAAGTTAGACCTTTTTTTATATTTAAAATATTTTTTTAATTATTAAAATACAGAGTCCGACAGTGACAAGGAAAGATTTAAAGTAGGGTTTGCAGCGCGCCGCGAAGTGATGGGGTAGAAAGTAGCCAACTTGCCAAGACATGCATAATTTGCCATTTAGTTTACAATGGAGCGTTGGACGGGTGAACGTCGTGGTTACGCAGTTAAAGCCTATTTTCAAAACGGTGAGATTTCGGCAAATGGGCAAATCATCGGTCCATATTTTTTTGAAAATGAGATTGAAATGCCGTTAACGTTAATTCTGTACGATACGTTGCAATGATTCAGAATTATCTCACACCACAACTTGAAGGTCTTCCAGGGAATGAAGACTCACTTTTTCAACAAGAGGGGGCAACAAGTCACACTACAAGAATTTCAATGAATGCTGTAATTGCTTTGAAACGGCGATATCAGTTGGCCCCCTCGGTCTCCCGACCGAACCCCCTGCGACTTCTTTCTTGCAGAGCTTCTTTATGCAAAACTTTCAGACACGACTCCAAGAATGCATAAATTGTAACGGAGAATATTTGGCGGATATAGTATTCAAAAAATAATTTTTTTGACTTTGTAAATCAAATGGCAAATCATACAGGTCTTGGCAAGTCTGCTACTTTCTTCCCCATCACTTCGCGGTGCGCTGCAAACCCTACCTTAAATCTTTCCTTTTCACTGCCGAATCCTGTATATCTAAATATATTTTAAACGGCTTTGAAAGTTAATGAATTGTCGCTTTTAGGAACTTTTGTTTCGTCGCAATACCAATCTGTGATATTGGTTGCATACTTTGTCGGGTACGATAATTAATTAACACACTGTATGTGTCTTGCGTTGTCTAAGACTATACCACAATTTCACATTCTTATCGAAAAGAAGCAGCAACCATCTTTTACTGTGGCAATAAATAAAAGTGTATTTTCTAAATGTCTTATTTCTTTTCCCTACACTTAAGTTAGTCAGGGGTCCGTCAGAATGTTTAAATATTGCATGATGATAATGGAAAGATTAAGAAACACCGCTATAGGGGCTAAACAGTGTATGTATCAACAAGACGTCCTCAACTGTGTGTAGGAAGAACTTAATTATCGTTACATGTGTATGTTATGAAACTAGGAGAGTTATCCTTTTATTTGGTGAAGATTTCACAATTCTATGTTGCTTTGTTGCTTTCCTGTGACTGCTCAAAATTACACCATGACTTTTGACTTTAGCAACACACTATAGTAGTATTGGAACCTTGTTTCAAATCAATTCATTTCCAAGACTCTATGTCACAAAAACTTATGTTAAAAATACTGAAACATCCTGTAATATGCTAGTAAAAAGAACATTTTTAGTTAACTTGACTAATTAGAAATTAATAAACACTTTTGTTTAATTTCTTAGCATTAAACACAGTTTTCGGCTCATTATATTGCGACGAAATAATGTTAAATCCCATAGAAGTAATACCAATCCTAGCAACAGCCACAATGTTTCAATTAGATGGAATAATAGATAAATGCCGTGAAGTAATGATCGAAACGATAAATTCAAAAACAGCTCTAGATTATTACTCGGCAGCTTGTCAATACGGCGATACAAAACTAAAAGAACGTTCAATAAAATGGTTCTTAGTGAATCTAATGGGTTATTTCTATAATTTAAGTCATTTAGATCAATTAGGAACGATCCCGATTGATTTAATGAGCCTGCTGGTTTTGCATCCCGATTTATGCGTTATGAAAACTGAAATTACTTTGTATGTTTTATTAACGCAATGGATGTATGTTCAATTACATCCGGATGAAGAGTATTCTTCGCAAGAAATCACAAATTTTTATGGGTCTAGAAAAGATGATGTGCCATATCTTTTAACGGAAGAGGCGCATCCTTATATTTCGGTTTTTCAAAATTTACGACTTCAACATTTAATAACGCATCATATGGACGTTGAATTACTTTTAAGAGAAAACGTTATTCCAAAAGGTTGGATACAAAACGTGGTTATGCAACAGTGGAAATTAACGTTAAAAGTAAATCAAAACGAAGAAAAAGGCCCAGCCGAAATTTCACGGGAATCCTTTTTATCGTACAGTTTACGATGTGGAAGAACTTTAGAAGTTAGAGAAAAACATATGTGGCGATGGACGGGATTTCATTACGGTGTTGATCTTATAATGATGGCGGACGATCGAAGTTTATCGATTAAAAGGAATCATCGACCCGAATACGAACAACTTTTAAGTTTGCAAACAGTTCGGCACATTGCTATAAGAGTTACAGTTTATACGTTGAACGAACAAAGGCAGATTGTATACTCGCAATGTTCGGGGATTAAATATTTATCGTTATCGAAAAGTGAAGAAACAACTTTATTGACATTCGATCAAATCAACTTTCCCCTTGTTATATCTGCTAACGTTCTTTTTGTAACACCCGAAGAAGTTGAAAATGTCGAGAACGTCCTTACTGTTACATAGGTAGGTGTAAATATAATAAAAATTAAAAAAAAAATGCAGTTGTATGCATTTTTTAATTTGTAATTAATTAAAGGTAGGATTATATTTAAAGAAACGTGTAAATCAATTATTAATTATTTTAATTTTTTTCGATGTATTGGATTTAATCTCTGTATTAATTTGAATATTGTGATCTTTATTAAATCGGTAAGTATCTTTTTTTTAGGTAATTTTGATTTACTACGGACGATGTTGATTACTTATTTGTCTTTTCAACAATTTCGAAATGTTTCATTTGTAAGAATTATTAATTTTATTTTGTATTAATTGAGATGTAGCACATTTTTAGGTTAAAGTGGGTTTAAATAATGACTTGGCAGATTTGAATAATTAGATTTTGATTTAAATAATTTTTGAGTCAAATACTGCCTTCTAAAAGATCTCGCCTTTAATTTTCTTTTAAATTTTGTTATTGAATTAATTTAATTAATTTTATACCTTTATTAACAATTAAAAATAGAAACTAAAAAGTAGATTGTAAGATTCAAAGTGTCCTTACACGATTATATTTTGAAAACGCAATTTTTTGTTTCTAACATGTTTATTCTTAAATTAATAAATAAGAATATTTCATTTCATAACATAAAAACGTGCCATTCTTTTTTCCATTAAAAAAAAAGTTCTAATCGAAATTAATTCTATAATATAGAGACGTTACGTTATTAACCACACTAATGTGATATTTATTTTATATTGTATATAACTTACCATTATTATTAAGCTATTAAAAAAATCTTGTGTACCTGTATAAGATAATAGCACGATTATAACGATGTATTTTTCGATACGTTCGAAAGATAATGTTTTATACAAGTTTGTATAAAAGCGAAACGAGGTTTTTCTTCTTTTCAATAAATCGTATACTCTATTAATTTCTCGACTTTCGTTGACGATGTATGTTTTTGACCACTGTATAATTTTAAGTAAGTGCTCTTACTAATTCACTATTAATACTAGTCACTAAACTTTCAGATGCTTATTTCGTACGGAAAATAGTACGAACATGTTATTATTTTTGAATACTATTTGTTACACATTTTTGCAAAATAAATAAATATATATATTTTGGGAATCGTTATATTTTTAACTTTATTCTATATTGATTCCTTCAATTTAATCTTTTTTGTAAGTTGTACAACAATTTGATAACACAAGCAGGCATGATGTAACTATTAATGTACATAGCAATGTTTCAGGTTACTGAGTTCGACGTTTTTGGCCAACTTCAGTTCCAGCGGAAAAGTCTACACCACCAATCTATGTGAAGGTAGGTGACAACAAGGTTTTTCAAGATTTGAGGAGTTCGTGCACAAAATATATATTCGACGATCGCTTAACGTACACAATACGTTCCTGAAATGCTGTAAGAATTTGTGTCCATAAGAAAACATGTATTTATTTTTCTTGTTCGCACGAATGTACGCCAATTAGTTGATAATACCACTGTTACTTTCCGGTAGAGGTCTCGACTGTGCTCACCAAATATACATACTGTTAGTTGTTACGCGGCAACTGTCAGTAGCTATCAGAAACGCGGATCATCTACCACCATTAGCAGAAGATATCCACAAACGCTACTCTTGGACACCAGAAGAAATATTATCACAAAACAGGTACTATGTACTAAATAATGAAACAGACAATCCAGATTCCAGATAACGACAATAATGATAATCCTATATCGCAAACAGAAAAGGGATATAAAATTCCACCCATATTTTTACATCATGCCAAAACCCGCAAAGAAATAATAAATGATATCAAATTTTTAACTTCCACTAGTTTTACAACAACACTTAAAAATAACGCATTAAAGATTAACTTAACATCAATCGACGACTATAGAACTCTAACTAAATATTACACAGAACATAAGTTAGAATTCCATACTTATTAAGATGCTTCAAAGAAAACGCTCGCGGTAGTAATCAACAAGATTATTACAAGACTATTAAATAAAACTAAAAATCCGATTCCACTATGGCAGTAGAATTAACGCGAACGGAGAAAGCCAAAGAAATATTTAACATACCTCAATGTTTTAACTGTCAACGTTATGGGCACACAAAAAATTATTGCTAACTTGCGATTAGAATATCATCTAATTGTAAGTAAACAAAGATAAAGTTTAAGCCTGAAGTGACTTCGTTGATAAAACGTTGGAACGTTTGAGCAGCATTTCTCAAACCGAAAGGCATCCTAGTAAACTCAAATAAATCAAAAGGGGTGGTTATCGCAGTTTTGTAAACGTCTTCCTCGGCAATTGGTATTTGGTGGTACGTAGATCTATGTGTTTTTAATGAAGGTTTTATGTCTTAGTTGAATTAATAGAAATAATAGGCGTAATAATCGATAGAAAACAAGCATCGAATTTTGGGATTGAAAGAGTCCCTATCGACACTTTAAGCGAGGGAAGAGCCAAATGAAGGGCCAGATTACCTGAAAATGCGGCATATGAGGAAGCTAAAGGTTTATTATCTGTACTAGGTATAGTTGATTACTGTAATAGCAGTATCAATAATATATTTTACTCCATTTTTATATTTTACTTCATGATGCATTTGAAGATTCTCTGAATGGCGCAATGATGTTGAGTGACCGGGTGGTTTGTTGTGGTGATTTTAACGTCGACATGTTGAAGTGTACTAACAGAGACTCAGTTTTTTTGAGTTCTTTTCTTGAGTCTATGGGCGCAAGTCAGTTAATAAATGTCCCAACACGAGTAACCCCTGCATCTGCCACTCTTATTGATTTGTTCATTACGCTTGATGTTTCTATTGTTAAGAGATCCGGTGTGGAGTCGTGTGATTTGGCTGATCATGATTTGATTTTTTGTGATCTTGTTCTTGGAAGTGAGGGTACTAAACCAAGAGTAATGTACAAACGTGATATTATAAACATAAATTTTGAACAGTTCTATACGGATTTAAAAAGATTGCCACTACATTTACTTTACTATATGGACGATATTAACAATAAAGTGATCTTCTTGAATGACTCTTTACTTTCCCTTTTTTATGCGCATGCACCAATAAAAGTGTGGAAAATTTCTAAGGTTCGTCCTGCGTGGCTAACGGACAATCTCCGTCTGCTAATATCGCTTAGGCATGAGGCCAAGGAGAGATATAGGCGTACGCGGGTGCCTGCTCATTGGGACTATTATAAGTCACTGAGGAACTTTACATCTCGTGCAGTTTTGTCCGAGAAGAGAGCTTATTTCAAGTATGTTTCTCAGTTTAGTGATGGTAGAGAGGGATGGCGTGTACTTAATGACATGAAAATCCGTAAGAGCAAGAGCATGAACATGCCGGATCATTTGAAAAATGTTGAGGACATTAATAAATACTTTATTGACAGTATATCAGAAATTGTGGATGATTTCCCCCCTTCTAGTAACGCTGCTCTTGATATATTATATGACATGAATATCAGTGATAATAACTCTAGGTTTAAGTTTAGTGTCGTTGAGCCACTCGTGGTACTTAATGTTATTAAATCGATGAAATCTGCTTCAACAGGAACTGATAAAATTAGTCCTGAGATGGTAAAACTTTGTTGTCCCCATATAGTACCTTTTATTACACATATTATGACCCAAAAGCTTTGAAGGACCTGAGACCTATTAGTATTCTGCAAATGTTATCAAAGGTTCTTGAAAGAGTACTGAAAGTTCAATTAACGGAATTTATTACGGATACTAACTCTCTATCATCTACTCAGTCTGGGTTTCGTCGAGGGTATGATTGTTGCTCTGCAATGCTGAAGGTGACAGATGATATTATCTCTGCGACTGATAAGGGTGAAGTTACCGTTCTTACCTTGTTAGACTATAGTAAAGCGTTCGATACTGTGAATCATGCGGTCCTTTTTAGGATTCTTCACTCTGTTGGGCTTGATCTTTCAGCGGTTGCTCTGCTTGGCAGTTATCTTGGATGGAGATCACAGTGTGTTCGGATTGAGGGCATAACATCTTCTTCTCGACCAATTGATTTTGGGGTTCCTCAGGGCTCAATTCTTGGTTCCACGTTGTTTTCGTTATATACTTCAAAAATCTTTCATAATGTAAAACATAATCAAGTTCACAGTTATGCCGATGATACCCAGCTTTATGTTTTTTTTGGTCCATCCCAATGGCGCAATGCTATTAATAATTTAAATTCTGACTTGGAATATATAACGAATGTTTCCAATTTGCATTGTCTGAAAATTAATCCTAATAAATCTGTCGTTTTGCTCTTTGGTAACAAAAGCGTTTGCGACCAATTAAAGGATTTGGTTAAAGTTTACATTCAGGGATCTGAGGTGCCGATTGTGAGTGAGGCAAGGAGTCTTGGTTTGATTGTAGATAACAGTTTTAGATACCATAGTCAAGTTAATAACTACATCAAGAAAGCGTATCACTCGTTAAGGCTACTATATCCCCATGNTTTTCCGTCGACCGTGTATTTATATGATTTATAAATGTATACAAAATCATTCATTAATGACACCTATTAATAAACGATTTTCTATTAATAAACGATTTTAAGAAAGTCCGACCGAACTAAATAGTAGTCAATTTAATAAATATTCTCCAATGAAATTTGTAATACCGACCCAACCGACCACTATATCTATTCGGTAAGACTACAAAAATAAATTATGACACATTAAAAGTGAGGTTATTTTGCCAATGAGAGAATTGGGAGATTTTTCAACGATGGATTTTCTCTATTTTGTTGAAAAGACGGCCAACGGAAAAATATTGTAACTAACTCGTATATTAATAGACTTCATTAATAGACTTGTTGGTTAAATAACTATTATGTGACTCCTTGGTTCTTTCTCAGTTTAACTATATGAGTCCCTTATATCATCCGGCTGTGTGCTCATATGACTCGGGGAGGATTCAGAGAGTTCAGAATAGTTGTCTTCGTTTTATTTATGGAATCCGGAAGTTCGATCACATTTCCCACTGGCTTATTGAATCAGGCTGGTTGTCGATGCGCTCAAGAAGAGAACTTCATACTCTAACTTATTATCATAAATTGATTACTACTAAAACCCCTATATATTTGTACAATAAGATTTTTTTCAGGTGCGATATTCACAATCGTGAAACTAGATTTAGGTGCTGCATAGACCCGCCTCGACACAGAACGTCACTTTTCCAAAGATCTTTTTCTTTTCATATATATAAGTCATACGGGAGCATTGGTGACGAGTTGAGGAATCTCGGTGTTAATTGTTTTAAAAAACATTTGAGGGCACGGTTACTTGGAGAGCAGGTGACTACTATTTCTGGCAGAGACCGGTGAGTCACAGTTTTGCTGCGAATATTTCTTTACTTTATTTAAGATATTTTTTTCTTTCTTTTTTTTATTTTTTGTAGAGTTAAGGATTATGATGTATTTCATATCTCTCTAATAATTGTCAAGGCTTGGATTGAGATGGGTCGAAAGGCA